CCGGTGGGGCGCGGCGCGTCGCCCTGAGGTCGTGCGGTGTCGGGGTGGTCCTGCTTGCACCGTGCCTGGCGAGCGCGACAAGAGCGGCGGCCCGGGCGCCGCCTGCGCCCGGGCTGCTGCTGCGCGACGCCGTCGCCGGCCAAAGGGGCTCTGGGTGGGAGGAGTACTAGGTCGTACTCACGTCCTAGAGATATGAACTCTAGGCTCCCGAACCAGATCACCGTGCCGAGACATAGTGGGCGTATAGGGTCAGCCATCCGGAACTTGTTGGGACGATCAAGCTAACATGCAGACGCCCCTACCTGGCGCGCCAACTGTTGGTGTTTTAGACCGGGGGGTCCTCAACCAACCAATGAATTTGAACTGCGTGCCATTAATCTCGGATGGTGATGCAAAGAGACACAAGGTTTATACTGGTTCAGGCAATTGGTGCCCTACGTCCAGTCTGAGAGATCGATCTTGTATTCCTTGCACCGAAGTGCTTGTAGTAGGGGGTTACAAGCTGGGTGAGAGAGGGAGCTAGTCCTAGGTCTCGATGTGGAATGGTGCGAGCTGCTTGAGACGTTGCTCTCCGATAGCTTGGGAGAGCGGGTGTTATAGAGTGTTGCTTGGGCGTGTGTGAGAGCATGGTTCTTTCGTATGTTTTTTCCGCCTCTCCTAGAGCTATCCCTGGTTGCTTCCTTTTATAGCTGCAAGGAGGGGGCCAGGAGTACATGAGTGAGCTGCACATGGAGCCTACTATAGTTCAGTCCTGTAGCAGCATGGTGTTGGGAATGGCGATCGATACTTGACTGGCGCGACGTGCTGGCCAGGCCCGAGGTTGTTTGAGGTCGTGGGAGTCCTTGTTGACGTCTAGTCAGTATGGCCTCCACTATAGGAGACATACCGTGCCTTGTGGATTCTTGACTTGGCGGAGTGCCGAGGCCTGGCGGGTGTTGTAGCTGATCGTGCCGAGGCCTGCTTTGTCGAGGCCTCGGAGGTGACCCATGTATGATGCAGGGGTCTTGATGGTCAGCGTCGTACCCGGTTTAGGTGGAAGAGTGCGGAGCGTGTGTCCGTAGGGCACGGTAATCCCTGCACCGTCAGTAGGGGATGGTAAAAAGGATATTTGACCGCTGTCCCATCGCCCCTGTTGCTGTACCCTGCCAGTCGTGGCTGACGTAGTAGGTGTGACCAGGCGCACTTTAAACGGATGGGATGGCTCGCCAGAGGGACGGTTGAGGCGGAGGCGACGAGGATGCGGGACGAGCCCGGCCTCAGCCGAGGCGGAGAAGGAATAGTATGTCCGAGGCCCTGCCGGGGGGTCTCGGACGAGGCGGAGGACGAGCAGTTGATCTTTCATGCTAATTCCGAGACTATAGGGACCCGGACTTGACCCTCCACGCCGCTTTGTCCTTGGCGTAGGAGTTAGGTAGCACAGGGCAGTACGGGTGTCAGCAGGGGGCACAGTGATGGGCACAGTGGTAGGTAACCCCTGCTGCGCCCGGTCCCCTGTCCCGTCGGTCACTCTGCCTATGCTGCGCCACCGTGCGGCTGACGTTGCGGGAATAGTTGGGCGCATTAACTGGACGTGACGTTTTGTCAGAGGAGTCGGTCGGGACGGAGGTGACAAGGTTGTTGCCGAGCCCAGCCTCAGGCGAATCGGAGAATTAGTATCCCGTCCGAGGCTTTGCGGGGCGGGGCCTTGGCGAGAGGGCCTTGGCGGGGCGGAGAGCTTTGGCCTTTCATCTGAGGTCTCGGTGCAAGCCTCAGGCGAATCGGGGAATCTGCCGAGAGGTCGTGGTTGTCCTTTGGCTTTGATTTTTGCAAGGCTTAAGCAATATTTTTGGTTCTTGCTTAGGGTACCCCGTCTTGTGGTATCCGACAGTGAGAAATTGTTTTTGTCTCTTCTCTCGAATGTGATAAAGTTTTTTTTGGCTTCACCTATGGCGGCTCCTCTGCGTCCTATAGCAAAAAGGCAGAATTGTGGGCTAAATTGATTCTCCGATTTAAAATAATAGTGGGTGTGTAATGCAATATAAGAGGTATCTAACTTAGAGGATGAATAGTATAAAATTGTGTGATTAAAACAAACATAAATACTCCAACATGGGCTTCTGACCTGTTTCCTTCGTGTCGGACACTTTTTTAACTAGATCACAATCTATACAGCCTGCCAACGACCCAACAGTCTTACCTTTCTCTCCCACGCAGCTGCTCGTCTCCCTGACTATGACGCGGGTGCTCGTCGCCCCGATGCGGCTACTCGTCTCCCCGACACTGTTGCCCGCCTTACTCCCTCACTATATGCTTTCCTCCCTCATGGCCCTGCCTGCCCTATCCGTCCTTGTTCTTCCCTCACCGCTGCACCTGCTCGCCTTCCTACCTTGCCTCCATGGCAGCAAAGTGGATCTAAGTGGACACCTCTATGGTGAGGTGTTTCTCGACTATGAAATCCTCCATGGTCGGGTGTCTCTCGAACGATGACCTACACGATGGAGGTGTGGCCTCGCTAGCGACAAACTCCTCCATGGTGACCGGGCTCCTTCACACGCAAGCACAACCGGATCTGCACTCTACGGTGGGTTATGTTGTAGTATGTGATATGTTACAGCAATCAATCTTGGATGTTACAGTTTTATGGCACTCAACATAAAAATTAGATTTTGCGGTGTTGCAACAATCGATTTGAGATGTTGCAACAGTCAATTTGAGATGTTGCAACATATTTTTCTAGGTGTTGCAATAGTCAATTTATGATGTTGTAACATGTTTTTTATGTTGCAATTGTCGATTTAAGATGTTGCAACATGTGTTTTTTTAATTTTGCAACAGTCGATTTGAGATGTTGCAACATGTTCTTTTGAATGTTGCAACAGTCGATTTAAGATGTTGCAACCTGTTTTTTTGATATTGCAACTGTCAATTAAAAATGTTGCAACATGTTTTTTTGGATGTTACATGAGGTTTCAGTATGTTGCAAACCTTTTGTTTTTTAATGTTGCAAGCAATGATTAACATCTGATCCATTTGTCTCTCTTTCCATCTCGGCAAGGTGCGTTGTCTGCAAGTGCTATAGGAAGCGCAACCACCATTACCATGGTTTACTGTTGCATCATAGGAGAAAGCAGGGAGTCAGAAGGAGGGCTCTGGCGATGAGCCGAAGGGAGATCGAGTGGTAGGGCGTACACAAGCAGAGAGAAAAAAAAGAGAATCTTGAAGAAGACGACAGGATCTACAAGATAGGTTATTAGAATGAGAATAAATCATAATTGTTGGATCATAGTGTCAGATACCACAAGAAGGGGTACCCTAAGCAAGAACCAAAAATATTGCTTAAGCCTTGCAAAAATCAAAGCCAAAGGACAACCACGAGGTCTCGGCAGATTCTCCGATTCGCCCGAGGCTTGCGCCGAGGCCTCAGACGAAAGGCCAAAGCTCTCCGCCCCGCCGAGGCCCCGCCCCGCAAAGCCTCGGATGGGATACCAATTCTTCGATTCGCCCGAGGCTGGGCTCGGCAACAACCTCGTCACCTCCGTCCCGGCCAACTCCTCTAACAAAACGTCACGTCCAGTTAATGCGCCCAACTATTCCCGCAACGTCAACCGCACGGTGGCGCAGCATAGGTAGAGTGACCGACGGGACAGGGGACCGGGCGCAGCAGGGGTTACCTGCCACTGTGCCATCACTGTGCCCCCTGCTGACACCCGTACTGCCCTGTGCTACCTAACTCCTGCGCCAAGGACAAAGCGGCGTGGAGGGTCAAGTCTGGGTCCCTATAGTCTCAGAATCAGCATGAAAGACCAATAGCTCGTCCTCCACCTCGTCCGAGACCCCCCGGCAGAGCCTCGGACGTATTATTCCTTCTCCGCCTCGGCCGAGGCCGGGCTCGTCCCACATCCTCATCGCCTCCGCCTCGACCGTCCCTCTGGCGAGCCTTCCCATCCGTTTAAAGTGCGCCTGGTCACACCTACTACGTCAGCCACAACTAGCAGGGTACAGCAACAGGGGCGATGGGACAGCGGTCAAATCTCCTTTTTACCATCCCCTACTGATGGTGCAGGGATTACCGTGCCCTGCGGACACACGCTCCGTACTCTTCCACCTAAACCGGGTACGACGCTGACCATCAAGACCCCCGCATCATACACGGGTCACCTCCGAGGCCTCGGCAAAGCAGGCCTCGGCACTCCGCCAAGTCAAGAATCCACAAGGCACGGTATGTCTCATACAGTGGAGGCCATACTGACTAGACGTCAACAAGGACTCCCGCGACCTCAAACAACCTCGGGCCTGGCCAGCACGTCGCGCCAGTCAAGTACCGATCGCCATTCCCAACACCATGCTGCTACAGGACTGAACTACAGTAGGCTCCACGTGCAGCTCACTCATGTACTCCTGGCCCCCTCCTTGCGGCTATAAAAGGAAGCAGCCAGGGATAGCTCTAGGAGAGACGGAAAAACATACGAAAGAACCACGCTCTCACACACGCCCAAGCAACACTCTGTAACACCCGCTCTCCCAAGCTGCTGGAGAGCAACGTCTCAAGCAGCTCGCACCGTTCCACGCCGAGACCTGGGACTAGCTCCCTCTCTCACCCAGCTTGTAACCCCCTACTACAAGCACTTCGGTACAAGGAATACAAGATCGATCTCTCAGACTGGACGTATGGCACCAATTGTCTGAACCAGTATAAACCTTGTGTCTCTTTGCATCACCATCCGGGATTAGGGGCACACAGTTCAAATTCACTGATTGGTTGAGGACCCCCGGTCCGAAACACCGACACATAGCCCCCCTTAAAATAGAATATCATTTTGACTTTTTGAGAAGTTAATCAGTCTTTAACTTTAACCAAACATATATAAAAATACCAATATTTATGATGCATAATAAGTTTCATTTAGTGAATAATAAAAATATTTTTATAATAAATCTACGAGGAGATAAAAATGTTGATATTATTTTTTATATGGTTAAACTTAACAAAATTGACTTACTCCAAACCTAGGACATGATTATTACCGAGCCATGCGCTTCTTCCTACCATCGTCGGTGTTTACAGGGACTACGCCGTCGTTGTCGGCTAGCTCCCTGTACTTGTCCTTCCTGGTGAGGCCGGTGCACTCGTACGACAGCGTGGAGGCTATAAGCTTCTGCACGTAGTTGGCTACCCAGTGGCTGGACTTGCCCCCGCCGCCGCAGGTGAGCTCGGGCGGCAGCCTGTCGAGGAACGTGACCGTGTACACGGGGCTCGGGTTCATGAACAAGTAGAAGGGGTCCATCCCCTTCCACCCCGTCGCCGTGGTGCCGTGGAACATGCTCATCCGGCACTCCACCGCCACCGGCACGACGTCGTCGGTGAGCTCGGCGAAGAGCGCCGAGAACCGCAGCAGGAACGGCTCCCGGCACGTGGTCCCCTCGGGGCAGATGGCGAGGTCCCCCTCCTCGGCGAGCACGCGCCTGATGGTGGCCGCGTCGGCGGCACGGTCGCGGGTGAGCCGCACCGTGCGGATCGGGGACAGGAACTCCGAGAGGCGGGACAGCGAGTAGGTGACAGCGGCCACGGGCCAGCCCAGCGCCACGGAGAGGAAGATGGCGTCCAGGAGTGTGCGGTGGCAGCAGGCGAAGAGCACCCCCGTGTGTGCCCCATCGCCCGCCGGCGGCGGCGGTGGCGCCCCCCGCACGACGACGCGCACGCCCAGCGCGTGGAACGCGACGTGGAGCCACCGCATCGGGACGAGCACCCCCGCGGCGACGCGGACGAGCGAGAGCAGGAGGCCGACGGGGAACCACAGCACGGTGAGCAGGGCCACGAGCGGGGTCGGGCGCTGCACCAGGCGGCCGTCGTGGAAGACGACCCGCTTCGGCAGCTCGTCCGCGCGCACGGCCTCCACCGGCGTCCGCGGCACGAGGTAGGCCTCCTGCACACCAAGAAAAAGTCATCTCAGATTCTGTCAGTGTACTGGTTCATGGTTTTTTTTTTTTTGAATCTTACTGGTTCATGTTAAATGGCTGTATGACTCAAGAGGTTTTTGTGGTACAATACTGAACCATTTTTGTAATTGTATAAAGGACGACGGTGTTCACTTTGCTTTAGCGAGTGTGCACCAAAAAAGCCAACGACGATGTTTAAAGTCTTGTTTGGATCTAATAGTCAGAGCATCTCCAATAATTTTTAAAAAACAATTGGTAAATCAATGATTTTTAAAGTTGCTAAAAAAGTAGAAAATATATTTGTTTCTTTTTCAAATCACTTTAGCCAATTTTATATTCTTTTTCTCTCTTGTATATTTGCACCTTTTTTCTTCTTTTTTTGCTCCACATTGTTCCACCACTGGATTGCCCGAATAGATTTGCGCGCATATCTTTTCGCGGACTGGACTTATTTCCCAAGTGCATAAAGATTGGGAGTTGAGATAATGAGTTGTCAGAGAGATTTTTTTTTCAATCTTGCCAAAAAAAATTAAGATTGAGAGTGGGTTTTGGAATCTGTTAGAGATTTTTTAGCTGCTAAGAGCATCCCTAATAGCCTTTCTAAATTTTACTCTCTAAATCATCTTTGAAAAGTCATTTACATAAAAACCGCTTTTTATATCTTTCCACACTCCAACAGTTTTTCTATATCTCATTCGCCCTCTAGAGAGCTATTCTCGTCTTCTATTTTTGGCTAGCGAAAAATTCAGAATAGAAGATGGCTATATTTGGATAATCATTTAGAAAAAGCTATTGGAGGTTATTTTTTTCAGCGAACTCTATATTCCTAGCATTTAGAAAGGATATGAAGAGTCTCTTGGAGTTGCTCATCTAATAATTAGCTCATTTGATACAAATAGGTCTCTAGCTAATTGTTAGATGAGCATCTCTAAGAGACTCTCCATATCCTTCCTAGATAAAAGAAATAGAGATTTCGGTGAAAAACAGTTCTCCAACAGCTTTTCTAAATGGTCATCCAAATATAGCCAATCTTCTATTCCGAATTTTTCGCTAGCTAAAAATAGAAGACGAGAATGACTCTCTAGAGCGCGCATGAGATATAGAAAAACTGTTGGAGAGTGAAAAAATATAGAAAACAGTTTTTATGCAAATGACTCTCCAAATGGTAATTTAGAAAGTGAGATTTAGAAAGGCTCTTGAGATGCTAACAACTATCTTACTAGTTAAACAACGCCATTGCATGCATGCGATGCGCGCTGCCGCTGCTAGCCCGTGGAGTGGAGCTGCGTGCTCGCTCGGTTGCGTTGCGTGGCGGCGGGAGCGAGTGCGTGGAGGGGATTTATAGCGGCGCGCGACGTGCGTGGGTCGGCCGCGCGCGCGCTGGGTGCCAGGGTGGACGGGCGACAGAATAACCGATCGGTTGGTGAGCGGTGAAGGGTGGTGGGGTTCGGAGGATCCGGATGCTGAAGTTGCAGACTTGCTTGCAGGACTCCATCTCCATAAGCTCACGTGTTTTGAGACGACCTTTCTGGGGTCGCAGTACGATCCGGGCGCTTCCATTTACGGGTCATGGTCGCTTTCATGTACGGGGATTGTGAATCCGTCTGAAAATTACTACATACACTGACTCAGGCATGTCCGCATGTGATCAGAATGGCTACTGCACTGTCTGTGTTATTGTCGGCATACGGACAAGGCAAGGCAAACCCCCGAGGCGTGCACGGAGAGGATTCATGGCACGGGGGACTCGTCAGCTCCTGGTGGTTGGCCCGTGCGTTCTACATTCCAGCCGGCGCGAGAGTACGTCCTGGCACACCAGACAAACAACACGCCTGGTAGCATCAGGAAACAGAGAGGGAGAAACAACGGTACCACACTGTGGCGTCAACTGCCGCCCACAGGTTCTGCCTGGTCGGTCGCACTCGGCTCGGCTTAGCTCCCAGTCCCAGGTCCAAACAGCTACACAAAGAAAGCAGGTTAGTTGCCGCGCGCGGCGTTTGCTTCCACGATCTGGTGTCGCTTTTCACCACCCACAAGCAACAACCGGTGCTACGCTTTCGAACAGCAATCCGGAACCAAAAATCTATGTATGCTGCATTGGAATGGAGCCTGCCCTGGTTGCCAGGAGCCAGGGGACGGGCCCGGGTGGGCCTCGCGCTCGCTTCAATGGCGACGGCGACGCAGCCGCGCTGGGCTCTCCGGTGGTCGGTGTTGGGGCAAGTAGGCTAAGCTATCAGAAAAGAGCTGGCCTGAATACACAATCGCCTCGTCGACCTAACACACACACACACACACAGAGACAGAGCGTATTTGCCGGGAGAAAGAAGAAAAAGACGACGCAGCGGACCGACGGGCCGGATAGGGTGCTAGGGCGTATGTATGGGTGTGTGTTCATTGCAGGAGGTTGCGCGTCCCTCTCGGAGAGTTGAAGGCATCTGCTGTACCAATTTCGTCGCATAATTCTTCCTTAGCTAGTTCCTACTAATCACTTCGATCGGCATTTCATTCTGCGAGCATTGCGTGGACCACCACGCCACGCTATGCCTGCGAGCGCCAGCAGCGGGGTGGCGGCGTGCCAGATGCCCCGCGACGGCCGTCATCGGCGAGGAACGGTCGCCGGTTGGTCGCGGTCGGCTGTCTCATTTAGTGGCACGGCAGGAGTGATCGGCACAGCGGGGACCCCCACGAGGTCACGAGGAGCACGACAGCTACAAAATGGGTGGGCTGGGCTCAGCTTCGGCCTTGGGGCTGGGAAAGGCTATATCAAGCCCATTGGCCTACTACATGTACGAGGCTGAGTAAAAAAAGTCCCTTTGAGGCCTTTACCTTCCTAAATTACAGAAGCAAAACCATTTAGACCATCTTTGGAACAGAGGAATTTTTCCTATTTCCTACGTTTTCCTATAAAAATGAACTAATTCATGTGAAAATAATGTGCGAATCCTATCGAATTCCTACGTTCTAAAGGGGGGCTAGGTGCCGACCTGGGTGGCAAGTAACCCACTGCCGACCCCTCACGAAAATAATCAGGTCCCCGGGCGCGCTTCATGCGTTGGGCTAAATTCAATTACTTCCCTCCATTTTTATTTACTTGTCACCGAACTTTTACTGTAGCAATTTTGACCATACGTTTTTTTTTGCAAAAGATTTTTTGATACATCAAGTTTTCACATATATGATTCTTCATTTTACATATTTGATTAATGTTATATACTTTGAAGTATCTAAGATTTTCTAGAAGAAAAAAACGGCTGGTCAAATCTGCTACAGTGAAAGATTGGTGACCAGTAAACGAAGACGGAGGGAAGTATATTGGGCTGTCAGGAACTGTTCCCACACACCGCGCAGCCAGCCACAACAGACATGCAGTAAAGACAAAAAAGCTGATGTCAGCATATCCTATGTTTTTTGAAGTAAAAAAAGTCGTAGCTCCTAAACCAAGTACCTTAATTAAAATCAGATTACATCATTGTGTTCCTTACAATAAACTCTTCAAAATAAGGCCCCATATGGATACATTTCGATAATTTGTTTAACGAACATTTATCTCATGATAAACATGTATTTAAAGATAATCGTCGAACATGACATTAGCAATATACGAACATCGCAGAAAATAGCATAGAACATCATATGTATACTACGTGAACATCATATATATCATGAAATAAAAAAATAAAAAATAAAATAAGTGGAATAATTAATTATAGTCAAATAAAAAGAAGAAAAAATGATACCGAACATCACAAATACATCGTAGAATATCACATTAACACTACACGAACATCACTAAATATAGCATAGAACATCATATGTATACTACGTGAACATCACAAATATCATGAAAATATAAAATAAAATAATAAAACTAGTGAAGTAATTATTAAGAGTCAAATAAAAAGAAGAAAAAAAGCTACCGACCATCATAAAATATGTCATAGAACACCAATATACGTGTACTGAACATCACAAAATATATCGTAGAACATCACATTTCTACTCACGAACATCAAAAATACATTATAGAACATCACATGTATACTACGTGAACATCACGAGTAGCTGTAAATAAAAAAGTAAAACATAAATTATAAATAGAAGAAAAGAAAGGAAAAATAAAAAGAATAAAATACAAAAATAGAAAATAAAATAAACAAGATTACTAATTCTATCAAAAAGAAATAAAAATATATAAATGTTGAAAAATAAAAAGATAAGAAAGCAAAAAATAAAGAAAGATATAAACTAAATAGAAGCCAGGAAAGGAAACAAAAAAGAAAAAGAAAAAGAAAAAGGAAAAAAAGAAAAAGAAAAAAGGAAATAAAAATTAATAGAGTAAATAAAAATAGTAGAAGAATAAATAAAATAAAAAGAACGACAAAAGTTCACAAAAAAGAAAAAACGAAAAGGAAAATAAATGAGTGAAAGGAAATAAAAAAGAAATCAAAGAAGGAAAGAAAAAAACGCACAAAGGAAATAAAATAAAAATAAAAAATAAAAAAAAGAATAAAACAAAACAGAGAAAAGAAAAAGGTAAAGGAAAAGAAATAGAAAAAAGAAAAAGAAAAAAAAAGACAAACCCAACTACCGTACCCGCACATACGGCACGGAACCAACGGAGAAATCGCGGAACCAAGGGAACCAACGTACGACACCGAAGTATGTGACAAAGGCATCACTACTTGCGAGTTGTACAAGTTTCTTGATTAAGGGGGTGTTTCACACTGCTTCGGTCCACATTTTTTAGTTTCGCTCCATGTTTTTTTTAGTAAAACTGGTTTAGCTTCACGCAACTCTGCTTCATAAAAGATGGAGTTATGAGAAAAACTAAAATGATGCTCCACAAACTCTAATTTTTTTAGAGCTACTCCACAGTGGAGTTTGTAAAGTAGTTCCACCCCCCACCCCCCATAGTGAACATGTAGAGGAGTAAAGAGCTAAAAGATTGGCCTAGGGTCGTAGTGGGACATGGTCTCAGATGACATAACTCGTTTGAGCCGGTTAAGGACGATTTTTGTGGCATCAAAGCACACTCGTGTACCCACCACATGCTATGCGTGGGCATGGTAAGACCATTAGCATGTTGTGTCTTGGTAATTCGATGGATTTGGCATGGACTG